ATATACTATTGAGTTTTATTATATATATTCGTATATTTTTGTACGATTAACATATCAAATGCCATTCACGAATCAACGAGACGCCCATCTCGAATTAGAGCTCTGACCGTGTTGCCATTACACTGCATTTCAAGTTTTGTTTTGTTTTTATTATGTTTTATTTATATTAATATAATTCCTAGCATATTTGCAATTACAAATAGTTTATACGATTTTTAATTCATTTTAGTGACTTATGAAAAATGCGAGCTGGAAAAAAGACGGAAGCTGAGATAGGAAAGACTCGACCGTGTATAGTATACGTAAAAAATCTAAAGGAATCCGAAGCCACCGATATAATCAACAACTCATCATCGACCACATCCGGTAAACAGACGAAAGCACTGCGTACCTCGACAAGGCGAACTCTTAAGGAAAAAGATCTGGATCAGCTAGTGGTAGAGACAACGCGAGCGACGCGCACTTCCAAACGAGCGACGACCGTTACAAACATTGAGCTGTCTCCAATCAAACTCAAATCAATTGTGAGTACTCCACGTACGCGTAACACGAAAGCCGACGAACCATCTACAGTACCGCGGGCCGCAGCTAGGACGGCAAAACAGCAAATCAAATCAGTGGCAACACCAGTGACCAAGCGGCGCAACACAGCGCTAATATTACCCGTGGCCCGGCCGTGCACTCCGCTGAGGAAGCGGCGTGACACGTTAACCCAGACCCAGATCCAGTCCCGGCCACAGACCGAGGAGATCGTTAGCGAGCCGAAAGCGAAAATGTACAAACAGTCAAAGCTGGCCTCCACGGCGGTGGCAACGCCGCCGCCAACTATTGCGGCAAGTCGTTCGCGCCGCTCGATCAAACCGAATCCGAAATATGCTAGCGATGATATGGTGACGCCAAAGTATGTGTCCGCACTGGCCAGCGAGAATCCCGGCAAGCGTTCGGTCAAGCATCTGTTTACCGACGACGATGACGATGAGGACGAAGATCTGCGCGATTTGATCGAGGAGGACAATGACGACGAACTGACAGACGCGGCATTTAATCCGCAGCTGCACAAATCCGACGATGACGATGACATCAGTGAACGCGACTTTCAGCAGCAGCTGCGACGAGAGAAGGTGCCGCCGAAACGTGGACGTGGACGTCCACCGAAATCGGCCAGCGCCGCGACAGCCGCGAGCAACAACAGTCTGCAGTCCCAGGCGGGACGTGGCGGAGCCACACACTTGCAGCAGCTGCGACGCACCTTGGCGCCCAATCTGGCTCGCTCCCACGTCAAGGTAATGGCTTCGCCGACGGTGGGCAACAAGCGAAAGCTCGAAGATAACAATGATGGGCCCATAGCACGCAAGCGCATGACCAGCGACTGGCCCGTTATCAATGGCAGCACATCTGCATCCAAGACGTCGGGTCTCACACTGTCCAAATCGAAGGTAGTTGTGAGCAGCAGCAGTGGAAACAACAACAACAGCAGCAGCAGCGGCGGCGCCAGCAATGCCAGCGGTGGCTTACGCATGCTGCAATCGACCAACGCCAAGGCACGACCGATGTCCGCTTACAAAGTGGCCACGCCCACAGGTGGCGGTGTGCGCAATGCTGGTTCCACTCAAGTGGTGCGCACAGGCACAGTGAGTCGTCCGTCCGGCTCGAGCAATGTGCTCAAAGTGCAGAAGGCGTCTGCAGCAGCAGCTGCGAATGCTGCGGTTTCAGCCATGAAAGCAACAGAAGCAGACGATGTGCCCACATTCACCATCGTCAACATTGATGACATTATTAACCAGGACGATGTGCTCATTACACGCTCCTCTTCCAATGGTGGCGGCAACAAGAAATTGCTCTCTGGCGCGAGGAGCAACAACAATGCACGCTCAAATCAATCCACTTCCTCCCCCATAACAGCGATGAGCAGCAGCCGGAATAGCGGCGGCACGCCAGGCGTCAATGCGGCAAATAAGCGTCTAAAGACAACAAGTGGTGTGGGAACAGCTACGGGAACTGGAGCGACGGCCAAGCATCCATTGACTGTTAATCATAATAAACAGACGTCGCTGGTCGTCTCTGTGGGTCAGGCGAAGCCGCGTCCGCGCATCCTCAATGCCGAAATGGGCAAGAAGACGCAGCCGATGATGAAGCCATTGATGAGCATGGGCAAGGAGTTGTGTCCGATGACTGATGGGGACAATACCGAGGATGAGGATATGGCCAACGATCTGGCTGACGACGACATCACCATATCACCACCTGCAGCAGCAGCAGCTTCAAATCAGGCACGCCTCATGCGTCGTGTACAGACGAATACCACAAAATGGATGCCCAATCGACGACAAGTGCTCTCGGCGACAGCGTCGTCCAATGCCAGCAACAATCAAAGACAACAACAACAACAACAGCAGCAGCAGCAGGATCGCAAGTTGACTAAGCTGCTGGGCGAGGGCAGCGATGATGATGTGTTCAAGAAGCCGGCCAGTCCGTCGACGTCGACGACTGCGGTGCGTCGCTATAAGGAACATGCAACAGATGAGGATACAGCGGTGATGGCCGCCGAACCGGAACCGGAGGCCAAACAGCCCAAATACTTTCCGCCGGAGACAACCACATATTGTGAGGAGGATGGCAGAATAGTCAAGAAGATAACCTGCTATGAGACCTGGCATGTGATCAGTACGCCCAAAGAGCCGTCGAATAAGACACGCCAGCAACGCACCTGCCTGGAAATGGCGCTGGTCAAGCTGGCCAATATGGCGACAAGCATCAAGGTCCCGTCCAGCAGATGGACAAGCAAGGTGACCCTCTACAAGCTGTCGCCAGCGCTGCAGCGCCAGACAATGACCGTATTCAAGGGAGATCTGAAGAGCTACAATATACCCGAAGAGGAACGCCACAAATATCAGCCGTCGTGCGTGCTCTTCCGTCGCTCCGTGCTCGACCGGAGCAAGTGCCGTGTACCCTTCGATCGTGCCATCATATTCAAGAACAAATGCTTCTATGCCAACATCGACGGCAAGCATGTGAATCTGTTGGGTGCACCCGAGGTGGTCAGCACCTTCAAGGATGTAGAGATACTGATCGATGTGGTTGACACGCTGGCTCTGTCCAGCGATCTTGTCGAGATGGTCACCTCCAAGTAATGAGTTGGCCTGGGTATGTAGGGATGTGAGATCACTGAGGAGGATTCTAAATACATACTCCAGTATGTATGTGTGCGAATGGAAATATATGCATACATACACACACACATAAAAGTAAACACCCACACACACACACACACACACACACACATATATATATATA